TTCCTCACTGAGGAAACTCAAGTCCACCTTGGTGAACATGTCACCGAGTGTGCCATTTTTTGCGGTCCCCGATTTGCCACTGATCGACTGTCGTGGTCCGTTGGTCTGGTTCACCTGGCGCATACGATTTGCCAACCGGGCAGCGGTCGAGGATCGATTGCTTATCGCGGGCGGTGATGGTTGTTGTGCAATGTACTGAACATTACCTTGTGAATCTGTTCGGTCAGAAAAGTAGCGAAATCGAACGGAAGTGGGTATTGGTAAAGTGAGTGATGCAACTGGGGCAGGGTCAAGAAGCATGTGGTTCAGCGGGATCGATGCATGACGTGTTCAGTAAGTGTCATTTAGTTCCCGATCAACCCAAAAGGATTCATAAAGTAGTAAAGTGCATCTCTTCAGACAGATATTATGTGACCGACATTGCGGTTTTAGATGAAATAATTCATGAAGTTTAGAGCATCAAGCTTGGATTCATGAAGTGTTTAGTAATTATGCTAAACGAACAGAATGGCGGCCCTGGAAATTAAAATATCACAGTTCACTGGTTTTGCCCTTCATTTGTTTATTTATTCATAGGACTGTAGGAAGTAAAAGAATTTGACCGTATGCAACATAATTTGCATTTTTGTCAGAATTTTTATCTGAAGAACATTTCACAATTCCCTTTTCTGTTCTCTATAGAAGCAGCAAGATAAAGCATTGCAGAACAAAATAAGTTTCCAACCTTACTAACTGCTGGGTCGATATTAACTGCCTACTTGCATGCAAATCGATCAGCGGTCCATATATCTAGTGATGAAAAATGTTCACTGTTGTTTGTCATTTTTCATTCTTCATCTTCTCGAATGGCTTCCTATCAGTTGAGACCCTTTGATTTAAATTCATCAAATACCTAGTAAAATAGGGAGGGGATATCAACATCTTCTTCGTCAACATTGCACCAAGAGTAAAGTTGAATATCTGTCTGACTCCACTTCGAGACAACCTCGCGAATAAACTTGGTCACCAGATGCAGTTAGTAAAATTTAACTCGTCACAGTCGTTTCCATTTCGTCGTCGGGTTTATCAAAATCAGACGTCAATAAAAAAATAATAATAAAATGGTAAACGTCTATGGTAAATGATGGTCTATCTTTACCAAACGCGCTATTTGCTTTTCTCAAAATACTCATAATGGTCAAAATCGCACACTAGGTGGCAAATCAAACTAACTTGACTAGCATACACGTACAGCACAAACCATTGAGCCACATTTCAATTTCTCTCACGTATTACACATTCGAGCACTTGGACGTGCTTAGTCTACTTTAATGCGCCTTTCAATGTGCCACATAACAGACATTCAGACATGGTTCATTCTATCTGAGAGCAAAGTTGTAGCGACTGAGCTAGAAATTATTACCTAAATATGTGTAGTCTACTTGAGCAAGAAAAACGAAGATGCTTTTCCATGAATCCAATTTATCAAGGATCGGGGAAACTTCTCAAGTTACAAAATCAAATAGAACAAATAACATCAATCAATGTGGCATTGAAGAATTGGCTGATTAAACAGCTGGTTGGTAGCAGAAGGAAATCTGAGTCTCACTGATGTGCCATCATTCAAGGTTTAGGTGAGGAAAAATGCATTTGATTGCCTCGAGTAAACGGAAAGGATTTTCGGTTTTCAAAGTTGGTTTACGAGACCTATAAATGGTAGAAATCTCAATCGCTGTGTTGTAAGTATTTGCTGTCATTTTTTCCTATATTCCTGCGGAATTTTTCGTGCGTTTCCATTAATGTGATTTTCATGGTCATCGTACAGTAAAATACAGTTTGACGATCGCCGCTAACATTCATATGAATGCAAAGTAACAATACACGTTTAAGGTGAAGTAGATGAAGAAAAATGAACTTTCATAGCCCACATGGACATAAATCTGTTCAAGAATTCCGATATGATATGAAGTGACTACAAAAAAGAACTACGGTTAACTTGCTGTGATCTACCACAGTGCCTCTAATAAATCGGTGACAGAGTCTGATGAACTTGAAGCACCCAGTTCACCTAATCTCTCGGTGCACTCCGTCATGTTTCACCTCAGGGCCGTTTGCTTTGGTCCACGTGGTTTTCCGTACCCCGGAGAGACCAGTGCAATGAGAATGTGATTCGGTGAATGACTTTTGGGCCTGTGCAATAATCATCCTAACTACCGGAGCACGTTATTTTACAGTGATCGTTCTGACCATGCCATGTCAAGGGTCATCATCTGATATAAGAGGAATGTATTTCGTCCGAGGCTTCACTCGCTCGACTGATTATCGGGTTGGTGATTTGACGATAAACAGATGAGCTACAACTTCTTTTTAGCTAGTCAACCATTTTACACCGACAACATACTCAATCACACCGACAATGCGGAGATAACCATTAACGCCCAGTATTTGTGTAACTCAAGGCTGTGACTGAAGTCAATTTTATATTATCCTCTTACTTGAGTTACAAGATCTAGCAAAAGTATTCAAGTTTGGGTGAATTTCTTTGGTTTACTTTTCACCCAGTTTGTTAAATTAAAAACAGTAACAGTTGGCACTGGTTACACAGAAGAGAGCTTCGTTAGGAGAGTCTTCATATGTACGCAATCTACTGTTTATTATCACTGTTTGACAAAAGCACCTGCATGATTCTCAATTCCTCAGGAAGATAAAGCTTCATCTATTGCGTAAAAATCAATAATTTCAAATTCCAGCAACTAGAAAACTAATTTACTGTGTGTCATTCCAAGGTTGTATAGTAATCAACTAGTGACTAAATATGCGACCTTCAACTATCTTTGATTTACGGAGTGTAGGAAAATAGTGCTGGTGTTATCGGGCATACCTGATCTGTAAAATTGACCAGTTGCCAATGTTAAAGGTGTACGGTAATTTTCAAAGCTAATAGCGGAGTGCTTAATTCCATCAAAATGGTCTACTAATAGGAAATTTAAAGTACATGATTACCGATTTTAGTTCTGGTTATCAGTTGGAATGCAAATGAATTTCTGTATGCCTGCATAGAAGTAAAACGCGTTGAGAGATTGATGTCCATTTGTGTTTGAATCCAAGTATCCAGGACCCTTATGAAGGGCCCCATGACAACTCCTTAAGGAACTCAATTTGATGAGTTATTCACAAAGGGAGTATCACAACAGGTGGGGTTAAAATGCAGTCTTAATGCCACTGCTGTGGATTTAAAGATCGGCAAAATTTGCAAACAAGAGATCCAGGTTCTACCCATGTGTCGACTAACTACGAGTGTATGATCAAAAGGCACCCTGCCGGAAACATCAAAAGACGACAGGGTTTCAGTAGGAAGGAGGAGATTGCAAAGTATTTGACTTAAATATCTTCTTTCAACATGCTCTTTAAAAGTAACTTCCTTCCGTCTCAGTAAATGTCACCCTTTGTGATTTGAAGAAAATGAGAATGTAAATAAGAAACGCAGTTTTTCCACTCAAACTCATCAGCCCATTTGCCATCTTGAATTTTCGTCGTGATGTGATGTTTACTGCTGAACCAAACTTCCGATTTTCATTCCAACGAGTTTAGTCATTTACTAAAGGGTCATTGCGATTTTGTTGCCGACAATTTCTCTCTCTGGTATTCAGGTCCAAGTGAGTGTTTCCGTGACTGTTTCGTCACTTTAAAAGTGTCACTTTGACAAGTGACGCAAACCGTAACCAGTGTGATCTGCAAGCTCGACGAGCAGCTAGAACACAGGCAGCTCAACCCAAGCCAAAAGAAACCCCTTTGGGCTTTGTTCATGAACTACTGATGAATTTTATTTACTACACTGTTTACTTCTGTAGTAACCAGCTGTAGGAGTAGGAGGGGTAACTGTGGGTCACACACATCGAAGTTGTTGGTGTATGAGAGAGAGAGAAATAGAGGAATTTATAAAAAGAGTCATTCAAAACGCTATCAGAATAGTACCTATTAGACAATCTATTACGAATGTGATCACAATGTACGTGAAGTTGGCTGGTGCTGCAATTACGTCAAAAAGTGATATTCTCGCAGAGAAAGCATACAAACTATGAAGTAGCATGATCACAGGATGTATTCGGTAGTTGTTGTCTCAACTGCTGTTTGCGTAAAGTCAGACCACGTTTGGTTGAAAGAGCAACAGATTTGTGAACTATAAAGGCCAACCATGGACACGAGGACTGTTTGCGGAGACCGGAAGTTACGAAAACTCGATCGGGATTGGGCACAAGAGCACAGGAACCGTATACACCGCACTTATGGAGCGGAAAGTCATTTTCTTATCATAGTAGTGTAAGGTTAGCCATGATAAAGATTTGCTTGTACTGATTAGGTCCAAAATGTCAAACTGCAATTTTATTGACAAAATATGATGAATGACTGCTTGTCTGGCAGACTGTGATACATTAAACGTGAGTGGAAGCCGTAAAAGTTTCTCATTAATGTGTAAGAGAAAAGTGGACAACCGGAGAAGTTCCTGTTCCATATATCGATCCCATCATTTGCATATATAGTTTTATTATACAGCAGATTAGTATGGGTCCAAAGCCGATGCTGAATTAATGTTTTTGTGTAAAATTTGCCGTTTACCAAAGTTATGGGGCCCAATAAATGAATAGGGAAAAGCCGGTGGAACAATCTGTGAACTAGATGCTATATTGTATTCAAGAACGAATAGTGTGAATGAAATGTCAGTAAATCAGGAAAAGAGAAGAGGGAAAAGGAAAGGGTACCACAAGAATATATGATAGAATCACTTTTTGGCCATGACAAAGGCAGCAATTGAACCATCTTGTGTAGCCTGCACAAGTCCGGCTTAATAATCATAATTGCTATAGCTTTTGCAGTTGTCAGAATGTTCTTTTGGCATGGTTTTGGGGTATTGTGAAGAGCATGGTGAATGTTAATGTGATGTTAATGGGTCATTCCTGTGTCCATTGTCAACCGGATGTTGCGAGATTGAACTGTTCAAGTTTCTCACTGTTGCCTTTCGAAGAACGGCTGAGCAATTCTTAGATATTCACTTGAACAAGCGCCTTGTCGTTTGACGAATATAAAGAGTCCTGTTCCAATCTACTGAATAATCGAAATTATCCACTTTTATGTTTCCAATTTTGATTTTTCCTTCTTTTTATTTATTTTTTTTTATTTTTTTATTTTAGTGTTAAAAGTTTAGGGAAGGAAGAAACGGTCAGGCAAGGAGCTGCCAAATAACACACTGAGAACGGGGAAGTCCGATGAGGGATCGAGGTGGGCTTCGAACACATGTGAATACCCAAAGAAAAATATTGAAA